GGACTTTAGAAACACACCCAAAACTCATTTACAACATAACAAAAGAGGCTTTGAACTTCATATAAATTACAAAACTGTCATTGATTTCTTAAAATAAGCTCAACCTCATAAAAAAACTCAAAACACTCAATATGGTATCAAAATAATTTAATAATTAAAATTAAATTCAATATGACCAGCTGTTCTTTTTGGTGAAGCCGCATATTCGCACATATCCTCCCCACACACCTACATAGTCAATCGTAAGACCTCTCTCCTAGGCTTCTCCCAGTTTCTGGTCAATATTATCATCACCATTAATGCTGCTGTTGCTACTAGTTCCATCATTGTCGTAGACTGGATCCAAACCAATAATAATAAGGTCGCAGTGTGTTGGCCAATATAATATTTCATTGATGTTGTGTTTACTAATTAGGGATTGAATTCCAATTATGGAGGATTCGTGTGTTTACTTCACATCAAGGAATTAAAAAGTAAATGGGCCTTACACAAAGTTAGGAATTGAATTGCTAATTTTTGAGGAATTCAATTCTTGGGTGATAGGTGGTATTTTAATTCATGGAGAAGTAACTCATTAGGAATTCATCTTTTTTATCTATTATATCCTCACACAATTTTAAATTTTTTAAAATTTTCATATACTTTAACCCAACAACGAGAACATTTTAGTAATTAGCACAACTCCTACCGCAATTCCATATGATTTAGTAAACAACTTCAATAGGAATTTGGAATCCTGAATCTAAGTCTCATCAATCCATATGGTTTGGTAAACAACTTCAATAGGAATCCGGAATTCAACTCCTCCTCAATTCAATTCCTCCTCATCCGATTACGGATTAATAAACATGCCATGCAAAGGACTCACGGAGGCGAAGAAAATAGAAGTGGTGTCGGGACAAGACAACTAATTTTTTCAGCTTACCAGTGTCAGAAGAGAAGACCTCCACATTTAATTTGAAGGTATCACATTTCTCTTCATCATCTGATTCATGATTTGCAAATTCAACAGTTGGAAGAATTCTCACAACCGTGTACCTACACTCAACATTAAGATGGATGTTGTTTCCTTTCCAATAGTCTTCCTCACATTTATTGTCAGGAGCATTGCAGATGAATCCCACTCGTACCCTCTTGTGACATTGACTTGGGGTGGGAGGAAGAGCAACCCATTGCATGGTATATGCATTGCAGATGTAGTAATCATGTTGATAATCCTTGCTTGTGCAGCATAAAACTAAGTTACTATATGTCGCTACCACAACTGAATTTCCCATCAAACCGTGAAATGTGAATCTTTTGAGCACCGGAGTTAAACTCGATTACATATTAAGGTATTTTTGGGTAGATCAAGCTCATGAGTCTCAAGAAATTTATTGAAATTTTCTGCTTTAAGTAGTAAAAAGGGCGTATACAAAACGACTTAAATTCACAGTCCTGCGTATATCGCCATAACAAAAGTAAGATGGAAAAAAAAATAGCTGAACATAAAACAGAACATATTAGGGGTATGGAAAATGAAAACTTCAGTGATGGGGTATCCGAATGATAAATGTACCAGACGGGGACATAAGGCAGTGAGGCCGATATGGGTTACGTACTGGGTACAATTTGTGAAGGATAACCAAGATATGAGGTAATGATGTGACATGATTTGGATTGTGTACCTTTTTATTATATTTTCTAGAGTGTGTAAAATGACATTGCTTGACTTGCATATTACATAATCTACTCATTGAGCAGTGGTTTGCTCATCCCTCACCTATTTTCTTTTCTCATATTAATTAGTGGGCCATACAAAGATGAAATCAGAGAAGTTGGATTAGTTTAGAGTGATAAAGTTTTATTTGTATCTTGTATACTTGTAAGATTACTATTATTTTATATATATAAGGGTAATGTATTTTAACCAATTTTTCAATATTTTTATTTTATTTCGTTCAATTCACGCACCGTGATTCATGAATATTCTTTATTTTCAGATCGGGGCGTGACAAATGGTATCAGAGCCCAGGGATTAGATACCCCTAGGGAAGGAATGTGATTTAATATCAGTAAATTTCGTGGACGAAATTTTTTTTAAGGATGGTAGATTGTGAGAACCCTTATTTATTTATTTTTTATTTTTATAAACTATATAAATTATTATACATACTACATATTAATTATTTATTAATATGAATTTTCCTTATTTAAATATTTATTGTGAAAACTTATTTGTTATTAAATCTTAAGCCTAGTATGAGATTATTCATTTAGTTGAAAGATGGCACCATTCTTGTTTTCCACGTGTAGATATTTGAAATTGGTTTTAATCAAATCATCATTACCATGCCACCTTGCATGTTAGTAACAAGTGGTGTTGTGATATCATTGGCCAATGGGGGATGAGTCACATTATTCTAATCATCATTGCCATGCCACCTTGCATGTTAGTAACAAGTGGTGTTGTGATATCATTGGCCAAAGGGGGATGAGTATACATGAATCCTTCGAGAGCCTGAGTTAGTAGATTGGGAGATAACAATGACACTTTTGGAGGGAATTCCACAGCTCTTTTGTTCATCAAAGTGCGCACGTTTGGAGTTCTCTTATAACTTTGGATACTTACAAAGCGGCCAATAAAATAAACATCTGCAATGAGAGTGCACCAACGCTTGGACACAGACTTGCATTGAAAAACAAATTTATTGTATGGAAGTCGGCAAAGGATTTCAACCAATACAATGTCAGGTAGATCATCAATTGATGGTCTTCTTTCTGCTGAGAATGATATCTTTGATCTTTTTAGCTTACTAGAGGTCGGCAATCCTAGAGACAATTGGGTTCTCTTCCTTACTTTGGTAGCAGTATGGCATCCCATCCACCAGCGCCATGAAATATATTATTATACACATACTGTATGGCCTCTAAGAAAAAATTTTCGTGGAATCGACATATGGTTCGTTAACTAAAAAAACGTACGAATTTGGACAGACACAACCTCTCAATTAATAAACTACAGATATATATATATATATATATATATATCATATATGTTATGGCAAGCCAATATGGTTTTGTGGTTGATCACAGTGAAACTCTAAGTTGTATGGAAAAACTAAGACTTAGGATCCTAAAAGAAAGGCCTTTCCACTGCATTATTTGGTTGAGAAAGACAAAATATTTCTCGTTTCATTCAATTGGAGGAATATGAAGGCTTTCATTGAATTGAAGGCCAAGCCTTTGAGTGCCTTTGAGTATGAACGAAGACTAGTGCGAGCAACTATAAACAAATTAAATGATAGCACAATTGAAATCTGAGTGAAAGCTTCACCTGCCAGAGAGTATGTATTTATTTTGAATTTTAATAAACTTGAGAGATTTTTTTTTTTTTTTCTCTCAAGATAAACTTAGTGATGGATTCCTTGGATCATGGATCATTGCGTGCAAGAGGTTGCAGCTTATGCAGAGGGTGGGGGAGAGGGTTGGAAGGGGTGATGGTGGTCATGTGATAACAATAATAATTAGGCTAGTGTTTTTTATTTATTTTGGTGTGATAATTATGTTAGTTTTAAAATTTTAATTTATAAGTTCTAGCGAATCGACAGAAATGCCCTTAAAGTTAATGGAAAGTTTAACAAAGTAGGACATAGGTGACACATTGCAACACTCTATAAAGTTCAGGTGTCTCATTGTAAAAATTAAAAGTTCATGTTGTAATTCCTCACTGACCTAAAAGTTCATGTGGTATTTATGCAAATTTCCCATATACTCAGTTTTTTTCTTAATTTTTTTTTTATAAAAAGAAATAGTATAGCCGCGCGGATATACTAAGGATTTTACAATTTCAATTAAAGAAACAGCCAAGCGGCTATACTCGGGTTTTCCAAAAAAATAATTAAAAAAAGTATAGCCGCGCAGTTGTATGCTGTTTTTTTAATTCTATTTTTATAAATAGTGTAGCCGAGCGGCTATACTCGTTCTATAGTAACCCATTACCCAAGTCTCTATACAAACCAAGTCGGTGAATCCCACTCGTAACATCGACTTGGGGTGGGAGGAAAAGCAACCCATTGCATGGTGTATGCATTGCAGATGTAGTAATCACGTTGATAATCCTTCCTTGTGCAGCACAAAACCAAGTCATTATATGTCGCTACCACAACTGACTTACCCATCAAACCGTGGAATGTGAATCTTTTAAGCACCAGAGTTAAACTCGATTATATATTAGGGTATTTTTGGGGGGTCAAACTCGATTGCAACACCTTGTCCAACTCGTATCAATGTCTTCATATCGATCAACGGGCTTACCTACCTTTCTCAAAGCAAAGGGCTTAAACAACTTTCTTTATCAATTTGCCCCTTCACCAAGAAGAAATGCGTATCGCTCTTTGACTCATATCAAGCAGCTTAAACGCTACTTTTTCTATCGCCAAGCAATGGTAGGGCTTGTCTGAGGACTTCCTTATAAGAGAAGTTCTTTTGTCTGCGAGCGACTAGATTTTCTTTTAGAACATCTTCGAAAACAGACTGAGAGCTCGTTTAAGCACGAAAAAAAATTGGTTTACACCCTGGGGATGTAAACACCCCTTCACGTCGGATCTCAGACATTCAATCAAAGAAAAAGAAGTCTTGAGACATGGCTAAAACAGAAAAGTGCAAAATAATAAAAGCAACAACCTAGTAGCAAATTACACAAAGCTCTAATTGGACTTAATTAATATGCACAACCAATTACTGTAAGCAGCTAAAAATTAGGATGAGATTCATCAGAGCCAAACTTTATGGTCCAAAGTCACAACTCCTCAAGTTTGAGCTGAACAAAGTCCTTTGGACTCTGGTCATTCTTGCTCTCTTTGAACGCAACCGCAACATTCAACAGAAATTTCTTGCTATCATAATATTTCTGAAAACTAAAGCATGGTAGATCAAGCTCATGAGTCTCAAGAAATTTCTTGAAAATTTCTGCTTTAAGTAGTAAAGTGGGCGTATACATAACGACTTAAATTCACAGTCCTGCGTATATCGCCATAACAAAAACAAGAGGGAAAAAAACAGTTGAACACAAAACAGAACATATTAGGGTATTTATCAGCAATTAAAAAGTGTTATATTGCTGAGTATATCAAATACAAATAATCCAACTAAACCAAATAAAAGTTTACTACTTTATAATTCTTGCTATCTAAAAGCTGCTAGTACCTCCACCATGGATGGGCATGCTGGCATGCTGCTGCTACGCTAGTCTAGGAACTGGTGTCGGCCACAATGGGAGAACAACTGTGTAATAGAAACGATCTGTTCCACAGTTTTCAACTATCTTTGACCACTCTCCTGTGTGCATGTTCCACTTGATAATATCTGTGCTCACACGCAGATACAAAATATCCTTATTATTTGGGTCAAAAGCATTCAGTATGCAACACGGCTGGTTCAGGAATATTTTAGGGTCCAAGGAATAAACCCTGCGTTCACTCAAACACAGCTTTTTGCCCGCAGCATCTCCATCTTGTGTCTCTTTCAACACATATACATACAGACGTTCGGTCATCATGCTCATGTTGCACATTCGCACATATCCTCTGCACACACCTAAGTACTGAACACTAAAACCTATGTCTAGAGGTTCCTCAAATATAGTGAAACCTAGTTTATGATCAATATTACCATCACCATTGCTGCTGCTGCTACTAGTTCCATCATTATCATAGAATGGACCCAAACCAATAACACTAAGGCCGCGGTCTGTTGGCCAATATAACATTCCATTGTATGCAAAGGAAAACTCATTGAGGCCACGAAAATCGAAGTTGCGTGGGGACGAGACAACAGATTCTTTCCACTCTCCAGTTTCAGAAGAGAAGATCTCCACGTTTAATTTGAAGGTATCACATTTCTTCTCATCATTTGCATATTCAACAGGAGGCAGAATTCTCACAACCGTGGACCTACACCTAAGAAGCATGGATACGCCAATTTAGTGGCGTATCCCGTATCGGATACTCGTTTGGAAACGTTACGCTTCGGATACGGTACGATACGCATTGT